TCTCGGGGCCGTGTGGCGGCGACTTCCCCCTCCGCCTTCCGCAGGCCTCGGCTGTGCCGGGCGGCTGGGTCACAGGTTCGAGGCAGTGTCGTTCCGGCAGGAGCAGGCGGAAAACCTGCGTGGAGATGGCTGCATCCTGGCGTCCCCATGTCTGGGCAGTGCCAGCGAGCGAGTAGTGGAGCCCAAGAAACAGGCCTGCTGGGGGGGCTATTATCTCCCCACTCCACCCCCGTGGACCGAATCTGCTCGAGAAGAAGCAGGTTTTGTGTAGGTGAAGCTGTTTCTTGTTTGAAACCTAAAACCGCAGCACATGCTGGCCGCGGTTGCGCGACAGGTGAGTTGGAGGCTCATAAAACCCTGGGAGCAGCAGCACTTTCCATGAAGGGTGTGAAGAACCTTGGGGAGAGAATAAATCCTTCTGGAGGGATGTGCCTCCCCCCACCCAGAAGTGGATCTGGCTTTGGTTTTGCAGTTGAACTGCAGCATCTCTCACTGCTGCAGACAGGCCGTCAGCCGAGGGGAAGGCAGAGCCCTCCTGGGGCAGCCCCCTCCGCTACTGCCCGGCTCCGCTTCCTGCCAAAAGGGTTTGCTGGGCAGGGGGTGGCTGGGGTCCAGCCGGTGGATGGCCTTGTACTGCTTCTTCTGACCGCATGCTGGTGGGACTCCGGCTGGGAAGGTGGAGCATACTCTGCTGTGGTCACAGCCACCCCAGCTCCGGCTGCCGCTCAGAGTTTGGCTGGTGATGACTGAGAAGCCGGCCCAGCCGGGATGCCGGAAGCAGCACTCTGTGGTGATCAACTTTCTCACCTCCTGTTTTTAGCTTTCTTGCTGTTTTCTGGCTTTTCAGCTTGAAGTTGGAATGTGACAAACTCGCCAGTGAGAAATCGGAGATGCAGCGTCACTACGTCATGGTAAGGACTGGCCCCGGGAGCGAGGGTGGGAGCCGTACCGCTAACGGGTCCTGTGCCTGGGGTTTGGCTGTTGGGAGCCCTTGCCCCGAGGAGTGGCAGGTCCCGAGGCCGGGCTGGCACTGGCTTTTCGGAAACTGGGGCTTTGTGTTTCGTGTTGGCTGCATGTGGGGGATCCCTGAAACACAGGGAATTAGCAGAGAATTGTTGGATGTGGAAAACTGATGGACCTGGTGGGTGATGATGGGGTCCTTGGCCTCACACTGACCGACTGCTTGACCGTGCTCCCTCTGCATCCGGGAGGTGACAGCTCTGACACACCGAGGAGCTGCAGGGTGCTGGCATCTGGGCACTCTGGAATAGTCACAGCCAGTGGAAGACAAAGCAGTGCTCTGGGAAGTTTTGGAGCTGGGAAACACCAGGAGCCCGGTGGGAGTCTGAAGCAGAAACCAGCTGTTGCGTGAGAGCCAGACCCCAGCAGCCTTGGGGACCCCAGCAGCCTTGGGGACGATGGTGCAAAGTGCCAGCACGTCCCACCGGTGCGCGTGTCCCAGCACAATGCATGTGTCCCCCAAGTGCCGGGTGAAGGCACGAGACGTGGTGCCACACGTGGGCAGCAGCCTGAGCCGTGGCCCTCGGCAGAGCAATATCCTGGGATACAGCCGTGTTCTCTAGGCAGGGTGATGGTTTACCTGCCAGGTAACACCTCCGCCTTCCCACACGTGCAAGAACCCTTGCAGCAGAGGGGAGGGATGCCAGGCAGAGCCGCGGCCTGTTCCAAGGAGTTAACAGGAGGCTGTGATCCTGTCCGTAAGGATGAGCTGCTACCTGAGTGGCTGCCCCTACCCTGGGAGGAAGAGATAAGATGTAGAAATTACTGCAGCAGCTCTTCAGAGGAGGGTTAGGACTTGAAACCAGAAATGAGGGAGCTGCCCCCACCCCCATCCTCCTGTACTGCCTGCACATCCTGGCTCTGAGGCCGTGGGGAGCAAGGCGTGCATGGGGCTGGGGCCAAGGAGAAGGTCACGGCTTTCCTTACGGATTAATGGGGAAGCCTGACACAGCCTTGCTGATAAACAACTGCTCGCAGCCTGCGCGGTGACGCTCCTCTCCAGGTGTGGCCGGGCTACAGCTCTTCCCTGGCTGCAGTGTCGGTTTGGGTTGCCGTCAGCGGGTCGGTGGCAGAGGGGAAGGGCTGGTGCTCGGTTCTGCAGCAGCTCCTGCCTCGTCTGCGCGGCTGAGCTGGAATCGCGCGGAGCTGCCGTCGCTCCCCACTGCAGCGAGTCACGGGAAGCGAGGAGGAGGGTTTTTGTCAACGTGCAAAGCTACAGCTGCTCTGATTTTTGAATAAGTCACAATGAGCAGCTGGGGGGGTCGGGCTCCCTCTTCCTGCTCAGCCTTCAGAATGCGGAGGAGACTGGAGAGCCGGCAGCAGAGCCGGCTGAGAGCATGGTGATACCAGCCCGGGCACTTCAGACCTGCAGCATCAGTACCAAAACACCACTGGTCTTCTGGATTTTTCTTTTCCTTTGGAAGGATGAGCGTTGCAGCCTGCAAGCTGAGGGAGGAGATTTCTAAACTCTCCAACACCAGCCTTAGAACAGCTCCTTCCAGGGGTCGGGAATTAGCTTGTCCTGCCGATGGATTGCTCTGTGGCTGCTGGGCAGGGGTTTTCTGGGTGGAGTTTTTTGTTGCTGTGTCTTTTTCATGCAGCTCTTTCCCAAACAGCTGGAGCTGCATGCAGCTGGATGTGTTACTTGCTAGATGGAGCCCAGTTGGGATCTCTCCCATTTGCTGCTGAAGCAGCTACGTGGGCTGTAGGATGCTGGCCAGGCGGAGCTTGTAGGATCAGGCTGCAGCTTTTTTGGCCATGAATATGGGAACCTGTGGAGCTCCGAGGTTTCCTCCGGGTCTGGAGCAGCATCACTCACTCTCACCTTGATGCAGACTGCTGAAAGGTGTCTGTGAGGGGTGTTGCATGGCGCCCAGCTGGCAAGTTCCTGGGTCTCCGTCTGCATCCATGTGGGGCAGGAGCAGGGTGGGCAGGGAGTGCTGGGCTTGGCGCTTCTGCCTCAGACCTGTCTCGGCCTGTGTTTGCCTCCTGCCTGTGTCTCCCAGGGCCAGTCTCTCCTCTCCTTCCACCCTCACCCAGCCTGTGCAGGAAAGCAGCAGCAGTTTTACCTGGTGCAGACTTGACTGACTGTTTCCTTTGTTTTCTTCTCCCCGCTCCGCAGTACTACGAGATGTCCTACGGGCTGAACATCGAGATGCACAAACAGGTAGGGGGAAGGCGTTTCCAAATGCTCTAATTCTTGGGGAGGGGGGGGTTGCGTGCCATGCTTTGCCCTGTTACTTCAGCGGTATTTCAGGAACTAGAAATGTCATGAGCCTGTAAAATGCCAGACCTGCCTTCGGAATGCAGGGAACCTCTGGCTCTCAACAGGTATTGAAGCACTGGACACTGCAGTGTAGGCGGAGTGTGGAGCTGTGGTGCAGTCGGTCAGCAGACGTGAGCTCGGGGTGGAGGGCAGGAGGCCCCTGAGTCCCTCACAGGCAGGTTTCTGGCCCTGCCACCTTCCCAGGAGCCTGGGAAAGCTCATGATCACCCCAACTGGAGAAGTGCCTTTGGATGTCCTGGGCTCTTGTGCCATCGGGCCAGGGAGCGCTTCTCCTGGGCCGTGATAGGTGATGCGGTGACAAACCCGAGAAATCCCCCTTGTGACAGGGACTGCTGCAGCCTGGACGAGGCTGTTCATTACCCTCAGTGATGGTTCAGTTGTTCGTTATCCCCAGTGGCTAATTACTTGTGCTGTTAACAACCTGAGCCTCCTCTGAGCCTGACTCTGGCTTCAGCTGTGCCGTGGCTCAGCTGTAGCCTCTTAGCACAGTTCTGCTCCCACAAAGTCACTTGGTGCCTCTGATCCCTTCACCCTTATTGGTAAGCCCACGAGACTGGCTTCCCTGGGAAAACCGGCGTCTCGGTAAAGGATCTGAGCCACAAATCCTCGCTGCCATGCCAAGGACTCTCCCAGCCTGGTCTGCTGCCCTGTGCTTTGGCCGGTCCTGGCGCACGCCTGAACCCTTTGGCTCTGCGTTTGTTCTGACTCCGTTGGGAAAAGATTGGCAAAGGACTGGTAGCTTTACTCTTTTCCAGAAGAAGAGTACAAATTTGCCACCTGCTTGCGTGAGGCTAGGGAAGAAGCTTCCCAGTCCCTGCAGGCTCCCGGAATAGTCCCAGTCCCTCCCAGTGGGGAGGCTGGCAGTGGGTGTACACTTACCCCTGGGGAGAGGGAGGCCAAGGGGGCTGAGCGGCCAGTGTGTGGGGCAGAGTGAGGGTCTTAGCGGAGGCAGGACGCGTGTCTGTGTGGCGAATTAATTCAACCCCTGTCTGGGTCTGTAAGCAGTTTCCTCTCTGGTTGCTCCCGACTTCACCGAATGAATGTCGAAGCGAGGGCGGAAAGCCTGCTCTCTGCACTCAGCAGCTCGGATCCGTTTACCTGTGGAGGGAGGGCCTTGGGGGTGAGGTGACACCCCATGGCACCGGGACACTGCCAGAGTGTTTCTGGGGGGAGTGTGTTTCCTTAGGACCGTTTGGAGACTGGCCCTGCCTGGGGAGAGGGAAGGTGGGGTGGCCGGTCCTGAGCTGCCTGATGTCATTCCTCTCCCTTCTTCCCACCTTCTAGGCTGAAATCGTCAAGAGGCTAAATGGGATTTGTGCTCAGGTCCTGCCCTACCTTTCGCAAGAGGTGAGGCCCCGGCTTGGCTGCAGCCCTGGCTCCTGGGCGTGTTGCTGGGGAGCAGAGGCCCCGGCCCAGAGCGAGGGGCCGTGGCCCTCTGACGTGGGCAGCTTCTTGCCCTGGGCTGTGAAACCTCGCCGCTGGCTCAGCCCCTGCGTGGGGATGAGTCCTCCAAGGCAAGGTTGGCCCGGAGGCCTTGGAGCAGCTCCCCGGGTGCTGTGCGGTGACTCCTCGCCTGCCCACCCCTTTGCTGGCGGCTGTGGGTGGAGGTGGGCTCCATTCTCCTGGAGTCACTCCCCACTTCTGCATGCGTGGTGGGGGCTTCGGGTGGCTAACTGGGGGGAGGCAGCATGTAAATACCTCCGTGGCTCCTCCTTGAGACCTGGTTCCTCTGTCTCATTAATTAATGCAGCAGATGAGCTCCTCCCACTCCCCTGAGAAATTAATTAGGAGGGCTCCGGAGTTCCTGCACGAGGCGGGAGGAAGATGAAGCACTTCTAGCACCGTGTCTGTACATCCCACGGAGCCCAGGCTCCACAGCTGTTCCCATGGCTGGTTTTTGGTCAGGGTTAGCTGTGGGATGGAGGTTGTGTTCCTGGGTTTGTTAGCAGGGGGACAGGCTGGGTTTTTTCCCACCCCCCTGTTCTCAGGGAAGACAGAGTGGCCAAATAACTGAGCTACAACTAAACCTTTTGCATCTTAATGCCCCCCCTTCTCCCCAACCCTGTCCTGCTGCCAAGACGGAAAGGACAATCCGCCTGGAGCGCGGCAGCAGCTCTGGTGCTCGGGACCTCGTGCTCTCCGAGGAGCAAGTACGGCTCTCCCTTACGCGATACAGCCGTTCTTCCCACCGCTGTTCAGAGCGGCCGTGACTGGCTCTTCCACTGCAGCATCTTGCAGCTGCTGCAGCCGGGATCTGAGATGTGTCCCAAGGAATGGAATGGAGGGGCTTCCCAAGAGCTGCCGATTTTGGGGGTTATTGGTGGATCCCATTCTGTGTTGGGTCTGGGTAGGAGAGGGGAGGCAGGTGAGAAGCATTGCCCACCTCACAGCCTTCTAGCCAAGGATTGCTGGAGGTGGGCAGAGCGGGACAAGGCTGGGAGTAGACCTGTGGTGGGGAACTGGGATGAGCCCTGCACGCCGCCTGCCCTGTTCCCGCTGCGGCAGGCCTCGGTGGTGCCAGGCCCTTGTCACACGGAGCGCGGGCAGGTGCCAGCGGGGTTACTCTGCAATACCAGCGGTGACCCCGAAATCCTCTGTTCCTTCCACACCAGCATCAGCAGCAAGTCCTGGGAGCCATTGAACGAGCCAAGCAGGTCACGGCGCCAGAACTGAACTCCATCATCCGTGTACGTGATGCGTGTTTCGTTTGGGTTCAGAGGGATGGGAATCTGCGCCTTTGGCAGGGGAGTTGTGACCTGGGGATGTGCCCCGCGTGCTGGGAGCCGGCTGCTCCACCAGGATGGGGCGGGCTGTGCCGGGATGAGGCCGAGCTGGCCCTGCTGCTGTGGGACTGTGGGTTTGTAGGGAAGCACCGATCCCTGCTCTGTCCCAGCAGGGTGCAAAGAGAGGAGCTGGGGTTGGAGCAGGAACTGCAGCAGCTCCCTGCTACGAAAACACTATCTGTGCTTGGCCAGGGTCGGGAGGGCTTTAGCTGCACCCTTGGAGTGTGCCAGGGTCCGAGGGCAGATGTCCCGTGGGGGGTGTCATACTGGGGACACGCTGCTGAGCCTTGAGGCTGT